TTGCCCTTTTGCCTTCTTGGCTGCGATCTGAGCCTCAGTGTGATGTGGTTCACGAGCCTCGATTTCGTCAACGTCGCGGGCGTTCTTTCCCTTGGCCTTTTTTGCTGCAATCTGGGCTTCGGTGTGATGAGGTTCACGGGCTTCGATCTCCTCAACATCCCGAGCATTCTTTCCTTTTGACTTCTTTGCTGCAATCTGAGCCTCGGTGTGGTGTCTCTTGCCAGCTTTGGCTCCACCCTTTGCCTTCTTAGCAGCGATTTGAGCCTCTGAAGTTCAATATCAGTCAAGTTCCCATGCCACTCAGAAGTGGTATTTACCTGTGTGATGGCGGGCCTCAATGGCTTCTACATCACGGCCATTCTTGTTCTTCTTGGCAGCAATCTAATGGAATGTCAGTGTTTGTTCAGATTCTGAAAGCACTTCCACGAACCTGTGCCTCTGTGTGATGTCTTGCAACAACTGGGAGATCTCGAGCGGCGATGTCAGAACCAGTGGCAGTTGGGTAGGCAGAAGCCAAAGGCACTGATACTAGCAGGCCCAAAGTAACAAGTTGAGAGAATGAGAATGAGTATTGCATGATGAAAGAATGTAAAGTGTAAAGACTGGCCGGCAGTTAAAGAATGTAAATGGGTGAGAACCGTTGAAAAGATTGAAAAGCAAAGACGAAGTGGATGGATGGCCAGTTATTCTTGGCCGAAGGTTCTGCTTTATACATCATCCCATCTTCTTCTGGTGAAGAGTGAAGATCCACCAGAGCGCCCAACGAGGACTCTTCCATTACAACCTGGTCAACTTTGTCTGAACTTTCTGAAGCTACATGGGATGGCAGTGAGACAAATCTCAGCGAGTAAATGACGAAGCGTTCCCCTTGGCCTGGCATTCGGCTCCCAAACAGGTATCCCTCATGCTCCGTATCGAGATTCGATGATTGCCCGTCAAATCGGAGGAAAATGCACTCCACGCTAGATAAAATAAGGTTACCATTAAAACCTCCTGTGACAGGACGCCGTTTGAAATGAGCCATTTCGAGGGATATGGGGCCGCCTGAAGCGAGGTGACAGGAACCGCGGACTCAGTGGCAGGAAGAGCCTAGCGAACACCATTGGCGAAAGCTTAGTGCTTTTCCCCAGGAAATGCACCCTGATGCCAAGGGGGAATAGAACAGGGAATGAAGGCCGTTTGGGGTTCACGACCACCCGCTAATTGGCGACAATGAGGACAAGCATTCAGTGGCGCAGAGGCGCTGTTTGGGGGGCTTTTTTGGCGAAGGCGCTGGGAGATCAGGGGCTTATGTTCCACCTTCCAAGACTTTAGCGATTACCATTGGCGCTGGATCCAACTTGTCGCGATCTCCTTTCTCTCCATGGCGAATGTCAAACCAACAACAATTGCATGAGGCTGAATTGGGAAGACTGTCAGATATCCTTGACCAGAGGTTCTCATAGAAGCCTTTATTGCAAGTCTCTGTCAATATCACGCATCTTGCGCAACTTTCAGCGGCTTTAAGCGAACATCAACAACTCCATAGCCATGGCAACAACTCCAGATTCTCCTCTTGGTATCCAAGATCCGCAAACATTGCCGACCTTCGAAGAGATGATACCATCTAATCCTTGACCCCACAATACATGATTCGCGCGCCAATGATTCCATACAGAAGTCTTCAGCCTCATCTGAAACTTCTCACTTGGCGATAGCGTCAAACCCTGAGGGTCAAGCAGTCCGTTTCAGGAGATCCACAGCACCAAGACATCGCATAAAGCGATTATGAAGATCATACAACAAGGTCCACGCGTCGAGTTGCCAGTAATTTCTTCTCGTGGTCGCCTCTTTGATATCCTCAACTCGATTTCCCACGTCTTTTTCCATTTCTCTTCTCTGCAATTGCTTCTGGTCAAGCACATTCATTCATTCACTTCAATTCTTGACTTACCAAGCGTAATTTTTGTTATTTTCTTGTTACAGTTATGGCTTCTAAATACGAATCAATCAAAGGGGAGGATGAGAAATTTGAGGATGTCTTTCCGCCGGGAAGGACTTCGTCTTCGCTTTCCGAATCAACGTTGTTAGATGAGGAAGAGCAGAGGTCAATTCGACCGCAGGCGAGAACTCCTAGATGGATGTGGATCACTCATGCTGCGTTACTTGGACTGTCATTGACGATGTTCGTCTCGTCTTGGTTTGCGAGAGTATCGACTTTGGACCATGTTCGCCAGTTTTCAGCATATTGTATGTTTTCGTGTGTGTGAAGGATGACATTTCGATTCATGCTAACATTTTTATAGCGCCTGCTGCAAAAGCTGTCAAATATGACAGAGTCAAGTTCAACGGCACAATGGGAGAAGGCTCACCATATGTTGGAAAGGGTCCAGAAGTCGATGAAGCATGGCACAAGATTTCTTATGATATTGGTGACCAAATGATCACTCCCGAGGAGCTCAAAATCATTGGGATGCCTGAATCATCACTCAAAGTCAAACATCCACAGACTGGAGTGGAAGGATATCGCGTCGGTCTTGAAGTTTTCCATCAACTTCACTGCCTGAATCTTCTCCGTCAGGTCACCTACAAAGAGTATTACACGGAGATTGGTAATGGAAATTTTGCATCTGGCGATGAAGAACTTCAAATGCATACCGGTAAGCTAGTATTTTCTTCAAACTAAAGAACCGTACTAACTCTTTTAGACCATTGCCTTGAAATGCTACGCAAGAATATTGAGTGTAATGCAGACATTGGAGTCTTTACTTTCTACATGGAAGAAGGAGATCCGCTGCCATGGCCACAACTGGAAACCTTCCATCAATGTCGCAACTTTGAGGCTGTCAAAGAGTGGGCGCTTGAGAACTCTGTTGGAAATATGGAAAGACCTGATGTTCATCCTGATAAATGAGACTATTGGCACAACTTCTATAGATTAATAAGACATTCAGAGAGGCTTTAATTGAAAATATTCCGCCATCGTTGCGATTGTAATTCACATTTACCAAATATGACTGTCTATACATGAGTATTTCGCAGTAACAACCAAGATCTGAGCACCTCTGCACACATCGCCTAACACCTTTCAACCCCTTTCCACTCCCCAGTAATCAACCGGCATCGTATAACCGTTACGTGATTCCCAAAATCCCAAAGCAGCCACCTTGCCCGCACCCGCCGACCTAGATCGAGTCTTCTTTTGCATCCTTGGCGCTACCCGTTCACCTCGCACACTCCCCTGACACATCTCGTCTCAGCAGCCAAGACCCACCCAGCGATCCCACTCGATGCCAATAACAGATCGCTCGCCTCTTCTTTCCCTTTGGCTTTGACACGCACTGACTATGGCATTTGAAACGACATGGGATGGTTTGCCCGAGTTGCTGGATTTGGAGAGGTGCAGGATCGGTAGGCGGGCGTTGACGGTTGAGTTTTGTCTGATCTGAATTCTTTGGGTGGTTGTGTTTTCTTCTCGTTTTCATTCTGAGATACGTGCAATTGATTTGCTTCTTTTCTTGTAGCAATTGATTTGCGAGTTTTTAATTACAGTTATTGTTACTATTACATTCATTTGCCCTTTTTAAACGCTCACTTACTTTCAAAATGCCATCAACAACTCCCCAGAAATACACAACTCTCGAGTCCAACAACAAATCGCCCTTCGACATTGAAGAACAAGATGGTGCAGATGATTCAGATACGACATTGGCATCTTCATCTTTTCTAAAATCCTCAAAATCACGCTCTCCATCACCAAAATCAAGACGAACGCAACATTGCAAGGACTGTTCCCGAAGAAGAGGCCTTTTCACTTGGATCAGATGGGTTGTGGTAGTCTTTTTACAAAGCGTCATGATACTGCTTCTCTTACAGAGTAACGGATATTTGGACAGTGCAAAGTGGGATGAGAGCATGACAGAAACCGGTGGCGATATTAACGGACTTTACATTCCCAGTAAGTACTATCCCAGAAAATCTTGGAAATGAAGCTGATTTTGATCTAGCGAAACACAAATGGACACTACTCACTCCAAATGGGGATAAATTTGTGCCAAATATGACTACCGATGAAAACAGGATGGAAATCCGACATAACTGGGATATGTTGATGCCTCGTAAGTTCCAAACTCCATTTGCTATGAACAGTAAACTGACAAGATATAGTTGGAAGCGGAAGCGTCGAAATCAACAACTACAAAGACTACCCCAAACTCGGAAAACCCATCGTCGACGACCCAATCCGCAACGGCTCTCTCTTCGAAGCATCCTGGACGCACGCCCTTCACTGCGTAAGCTCCATTCCCACTCCAATTAACCCTTCCTAACAATCCTACAGTTATACTACACAGTAGACTCCTACCACCAACTCACCGTCTCCAACGGCACCAAATTCGGCTTCGACGGTGAGCGTAATGATTACCACGCCGCTCATTGCTTTGAGTATCTGCGCAATCAGATCTTGTGTATGTCTGATATGACGCTGGAGGGGAGTGAGAGCGTGTTGGATGCTACGGGGGAGGGACAGGCGCATATGTGTCGGGATCGGGGGGAGGCTGTGAGTTGGATTGAGGAGAGGAGGGTTGATGATATTCAGAGTATTGTTGGGCCGTGAAAGTAGTTTGGTGTAGTGCATGTTACAGGATCAAGGTCGAAATTCTTTGGATGCTATCTTCATTCGTGAACACTTTCTTCTGATGGATTTTGAGCTTCTCACTGTCAATTTTGACGTAGAAATGTTTCAATACCCCTTTCAGCAAAGCCAGGTCATCTTTCTTCATTCTCAAAAAAGTCTCACGTAGCTCTTTTATCCCTGCTAACATATCTTTGAATCCAACACCTGTTATTTGGTAGCCTCATCCATTAGATCACTCGTGGTCGTCCCACATATCTAGGTGAAATTTGTCCTACAAGTACAGCTCGCGGTAGCAATGTAATGATTCGAAGACTTTCGACCCTTAATAAATGTCCTATATTCATATTGTTGGAGACATTAACAGAGCATAATTACAAAAGCAATACTCAATTCCCTCATTCGACAATTTTTGAATCCGTCTTTATGCTGTAAATTTTGGTAGTATTAGGTTACTAAGTAAACTACTACAGACCGAGTTCTCATAGTCAAAAGTGTTTACAATATCTGGTCTACATGCAACAACGTCCTATAGAAGCTCGTATACACAAGCCAAGGCCATATTTTGTCACAAAATGATTCAAGTCAGCATGATAACCTGATAAAAAAAACACAGTGAGAGCATGTTTGAAGTGAAAAAGCCAAGCCTTTTCTCAATCCCTCTGAAAAAGCGCTCTCCGATACTGACAGTAATGTATTTGAAGTCTGTATTCTCTAATCATTCGATTCAGCCACAAGCCGTACACCAAGCAAGATGATCTTCTACCAGCTGTGGTCCACCACGTACTCACAACCTGCCCGGCGCGAGCTAAAAATAATTTTCCAAATGTAGATGATATTTGAAACCTAATCCTTCGCAGCTTCATTCACCAAGGCATCTTCAAACTTGTCCACTCGGAACAATCCAAGTCATCCAACTTATTGATAGATTCTAAGTGAAAACTATGTATTTCTAAACCAGGCGCCTTTTCAACTGCGGAATTTGGATTATGATTTCACAGAATCAGTGGTAGAAAAGAACCTTCTCGAGTTAACTTCAAACCCTACAGTTTTTCTTTTCTTTAAATGTAGACCGATGAAGAGCATCTTCTGCAAATGGAGTTTAATTGGCGTATATCATGAACGCTAACTTAATGACAGAGATCAATTTATCGTAGACTTTCAGTAACGAGGTAAGAGGGTATGTAGCTGTGATTCCTCTTTGTACGATAGACTGTAATCATTTAATTAAATCAGCTGTTGGGTTGTTTGTTAGGTAAAGTATAATCCTTAGCACGGTATACTTGAGAGGTATTCTAACATCTAAGATATCTTAACTTTCTACATCTTGGGTTTAGCATTGCCTTTTTCTACAAAAGAAACTAAGATCGATCAAAGATTTCCACGTTACACATCATAAATTCTGTCTCTCCAAAAACGATTAATACCAATTTTATTGGCATAGAACTTCGTAGGCGTGCTTATAATTTTGAAATAGCTTTTACTCAACTATCTTTACTCTCTCTATAACCTTCATCGTCTAGCATACACAAACAGACATCTGTGTAAGAAATAATCAAATTAAGCTACATAATGAATTTTCCGCAAATTCAACCTAACAAATCTTCAACATACTTAAAAGTAATCTGCACAAGTCTCGAGTCTACCCAGCACCCTTCCCCAAAAATCCTAAAAGAGCAATCGTCTAATATCCCCCCTCCACATCCCCTCAATTAAATTATTGAACAAACCAAGTTTTAATTTTCGTTTAATTCCCATTCTCATAACATCCAACAAAAATTTGCAACAATCTAGCCACCCGGTGATTTCGCAATCAAAAGCCATAGTCAATTACATAATCTAAATATTGTTGGTACAGCACTATAGTTTTTCGACAATCCGCTTAACCACTTCAGTTCTAGAAAGATCTTTCTTGTCCTAAGCTCTCCAAGGGTTCTGGATGATTTGAACGGAAAGGTTTGTAGGTGATTTGAAGCGGAATTTCTGTTGCCTGTTAGGCTGTTATTTTTTCCGGGTCTTGAACTCCCGCACCGAGCTGTAAGTCTTGTTGCTTGAAACCTCTCATCTTCACGGATATTGAGATTGCTGCTTCTCTCTGGTCTTCTTGAGAGCTATTTGCTAGCTTTCAAAGGAGAGTAAACTTGTGTTCAACGACCGACATATGTACCCCATCACCAGCTCAACACAAATACGCCTTTCAAAACGATCATTTATGTTCAACACATCTGCAAAACATATCATAATATTGACCTACCAACCAGCTATCTGTCCACAAGTACCCAAACATATCGCACAGAAACCACAATCTCTCATCGATCCAACGGCGTCCTTACACAAACAAATGCCAGCTTGCCTAGAAGTGATAAATCACTGTATGATCAAGAAGCAAGCAACAGTTGAATTCCAGACAAGATCGGTTAGCTGTTCCCACATGTACTGGTAAGAAAGAGAGAGTCAAAGAGCACTTCACCCAACAAACTCAACCATTCCCCTAAACCTCCCACGCTTGCACCCCCAACCAACCCAAAAACCAAAGGCCAAAAACTAAAGCCCCTACCAACCACCAGTCACTCCAACGACCAGTCTCTCTTTCCCCTCCCCGTCTACCTCTTCATCACCTACCCCATCCCAACCCCTCCCAACCCATGACACAGAACACGGAACCCCTAACAATTCAACCTATAAGGAATCCTCATTTTACAAGCATCTCACACCAATCCGCCACAGAGAGAGAGAGAAAAGGGTCCACAGAGGCGTTTGTTTTGCGTGATAGTCATATGGCAGTGAGGAACATCATTTCGAATCATAAGGGGAATAAAGGTACAAAACCAGCCAACAGCCGATAAGCATCCTTAACAATTTCACAACAATCTCACACCTCACACATCACACGAAAAACCCATATTCATCATATACAACATATACATTATGTAACCCCCCCTTCTCCCTTCTAACTACCCTATTCCCTATTCAAAAATCCACAATCCACTTCCTATCTACCTTTCCCCCCCAAATCTAATCCACAACCCCACCCCCTAACTACACTATCCACACACATCTCCCCAAAAAATACACCCTCCTCTAAAAAGCCAAGCCAGTGATAGCTAGCAACACATACCACAGAAAGTAAGTTCATTAGAAAATCCCCGATTCAAAAACGCCATAAATGAATATGCACACGACTCAAATAATGTACCACACAAGAAACGAATCACGGAGAAGATTTCCCCGCACTCCTCAACCCCTTCATCCACTCCTCCTCACCCACAGACGCGGCGAGACCGCCTTTAACGATAGCACAAACCTCGTTCGCACTCTGCGCACCAAGAAGCTTGCCTTCGAGTGCATTAAGATACGCAACACCCGCACGAACAAGCAGCGCATCACCTTCAAAGACGAGGACGTCCCAGAGACGAGTTGCGTTGTCGAGAGATAAGCAGCCGGTGAACATGCCCTGGAAGAGGTCGCGGAGGTATATGTCTGGCTGGAGTGCGAAGGTTGGGTTTGTGAGGAGGGCGTGGAGACGGGGTGATTTATTGGAGAGGGTGGAGAGGAGGAGGTTGTAGGCGCGGGAGGTGCCGCTTGAGTCGTTGGTGTGGAAGGAAAGTGTAAGCGGTCGGTTGAGGATGTTTGAGAGGGCTTGGAAGGAGGCTGATGGGGTGGGGAGGTTGAGTAGTAGGATGGCGGCTATTGTCTGTGATGGATTAGTATGGTTACAAAGATTATGCGGCGAGGTATGACTTACACTTGTCCCGTGTACATATCCAACATCGCTCCTATACATAGCATATGCTTTGAGAACATCTAGCAGAGAATCGTGTAAAGGTCCACCGGCTTGGAAGATGCGCAGATCTGGATATGTAGATTCGACATCTAGCTCGATCTTGTCAAGCCACCTCTTTTTCTTCAACTCTTCCCCGTTCAATTGTGAGCCACTTTTAATCGTTGTTTGTAGAGCTTGCGCCCTTCGAAGTGCAGCAGTATATGATGCATCAGTCAATCCGAGTTCGTTGCCAATCGCCTTTGCCCAAACAGCGCCTCGACTTCTTGGTGCAACTCCCCTCCACCATAATTCTCGTGTCCGCTTTTGTGATGTAGTCGCTTCCCAGTTTGGCAGAACATGCTCTTCCCAGATTCGCAGCAGCGAACTGGCAGTATCATCCTTGCAGCTATTCTTCGCTCGTTGCTCTGCCTCTCTCTTCTCATCCGCCTTGAGTGAAAGTGCCATCATACGCTGATATTCCTTCAAATGACGTTTCTCTTCCGCAGGGTCCTTTGGTGGTAACCAAGATGGCCGTGTGCGCGAGAGAACCGCTTCTTTCTCTTTCGAGATCGGCAGAGGATCAATCATGATATCCGTCCGCCGCAACGGAGGCAGCTCAGCAATCGCAGACCTGACTCGAGGTTTCTCAGGTCGTGGTGATTTTTGATAAACAGGATCTTTATTCTCCTCCTCATCCGCATGAGCTTCCAAAGCCTCAGTCAGTGCCTTGGCTTCTTCGCTCAATTCCGAAAGCGCCGATACCCAACTCATAGGCCGACCTTTGGGATTCATCGTGTTGTGGTTGATAGGAAACTGACCCATACTCGTCCCACGATTGATGACTCCAGGTTTCGGTGAATTAGGCGTCCTCGGTGATCTCAACTCTCCCTGCTCAGCAGGAACAGGAGCAGTACCATTTCCAACACTTCGAATTCTCTCCTTGACCTTCTTCTCGGGATTCCTCTCCGGACTTGTGCCTGTCGAGGTTGGTCTGCTCTTAGGTCGCTCCTGTGGTGGTCGCGGGCTGATGGGAACGTTATCGAGAAAATACTCGTCCGGCACATCATCTCCGTCATCCTCATCACACTCCGCCTCTAATTGTGCTGCTGTCTTCCTATCTCTATTCGCCTGCCAACTACTCCTCCTCTGTTTTAATGCAGCGGCGTTAATTGCTTGGCGGGCGGTAATGGGCACATTTGGACTCGTACTCCTGTGTCGCTTCAACATAGGCAGATTATTCGAATTCGAAGTCATCAATGCCCTTCGCGATGTCGTGTTGTTACCCGTAGGCATCAAGCCTAACCCGGCGGTTGCATTCTGTACCTGACCCCTCAAACTCGGATATGAAGGTTTCGTCTTCCCAGCCGTCAATTCCCTCTGGCGCTGACTGCCATTTGTATTCGTCATCGGTGTCCGTTTCCTCGCGGTCGCAGTGGCTCGCAAGTCACTCGTATACCGCTCATCATATGGGTTTGTTGTTGTTTTGATTGCGAAATCCCCTATATCCACATCGGCTCTGGAATCGTCCTCGAGACCGATATCCTCGAAATTGCTGACATCGTCGATGATGCTGCTGCTGTCGGAATGGTACGAATGAAATGACGATGATTTCGACGACTTCGAGCCCGTCAATTCTGGCGGTGAACCTGGCATGCCAGCGCTGGACCGCACATCATCGAGGTAGGTCATCGCATCTTCGACCACGGGGAGTGGAGAGGTGAGGGCTCTTTGTAAGGTAGCTATCTTGGCGGTATTGATCGGACAAGATCCGATATAATGGTTTAATCGTCAATGACCTATGTAGCGGTCTGGCTGTAATCCGAGGTGTTGTGTGTTTCAAAGTTGGGACGACGTTCGGTCTATTTTGGTTGCCCCTGAGTATTTGTGATGTTTGGGTCTTGGGAGCAGGATCGTCAGCGGGAATGGGATGCGTCTGGTGATTGTTTTGATTTACGTGTTGACGAGTCGAGCGACGGTGGTGTAATAATAACGATTATTATTATGGTTTAAAGAGTGTGGTGGTAAAGAGTGTGGTGGTAAAGAGTGTGGTGGATTGATTGAATTAAGGAGGTTGGAGATGCTGCAGAAGCTGTGTGGTGATGTCGTTGGGGAAGAGGAGACGAGACGAGACGCAGAGTGAGCGCTGGCAGAGCAGACTCGAGTGACGAAGGAAAATCGGGGTTTGGAGAGTTCGGCGGAGAATCGGGTTGGCTGTGGGCTGCGCTGCAGACTGCAGTGGGATTTTAGCGGGAGAGCGGTCGAGTCTTGGGCGGCTTGAGGCGAGCGGGGGAGGGAAACGGCGCTGTGGAGAGCCACTAGAGGGTGATTTTGGCAGGTGCACAGGCTTGATGAGCGCTGAATTTCTTGGACGGTGACGCTGTGAGCGGGCGGGAATGTCCTGGTTTGCGACCTGCTTTTCGATCTTCGATCTATTGCGACGTATCGTCAATTTTGTCCTCCGAGGTCGTTCTCAGTAATAATCCTAACTTGACAGATATCTTCCCTTTCCTCTCTTTCTGGAGTCACTAGTGAATATCAATTCACCTCCGTACTCGTACTCTCTCCCGTACCTCAAGATTCTAGACCTCACGCCCTGAAATGATGCCCAGCTAACACCGGACGAACTCGCTTCGCAGATTGCGGTGATGAAATGATTCGCAGGCGACCCTCTGATTCGCTCTATCACACCCGGTGTATAAAATAAGATTATGAAAAATAAGCCCAGCGTTTATGCACATAAAAATCGTGTTACAGACATAAAAAGACGTGTGGTTCAGAATCCAGAGGCAGGAAACACAGATCCTTATCAAGAAACATCGCTCTTCCTACATGACATAGCCCGTAGGGCTGCGAAGGGGTAGGTATCACTTTGCAGCGCACGAGAAACAACAAGCAAAGTTGGCAGTTCGGAGCTAGACATTTGGATGATGACAGCTGCATGTACAACTTGGTTTCGCTTACCGCTGCAATAATTTGATCTACTGTACGACCCACAAGATTATAGATAGATCCGAAGCTTGAATTGCAATATTGAGAATAATACTTGGACTTTGCAATAACCTGAGGAGAGGAGTATTTGATACCAACCACCAGGCCACAGAAAGGGTCACACACAAATCCAACACCAGACGCCTCCCCCGCCCCCTTAACAGCCCCCCGAAATCCACAAGCGAACGAGTTTACGAGCTGCCTTACCTCTCACTCTCGACTTACAACATCTCAACCCACAACATCTCAACATGTCAACCCACAACTTCCAACACCACACAACGGCAACTTTACCGAAGTCAACTGCACATCATCTTTTCACGAGTCGTGCTCAACGGCTCATCATCGCATTCCGGTGACTAGGAAACGCATCCGGTCGTTGAACTACTTTAGTTGACAGGGGTTTTTGAGTTTGCGCGATGGAGTGAAGTGAGGGGAATGGAAAGTCTTGGAGATTTTTGTGGTGAGGCTTGATTTTTGGGTGAGGCTTGATCTGTATGAGATAAGATGAGATGAGAAATAGTTTGGCTGAGTTGTTGGTGAGTGAGATAGCAACCGTACAGCCTGGTAAGAAGTTAGACTTCTCAGCTCGTCGTCACTACACAGGCAAAGACAACCCCTCATCCCTTCTCACAATTCCATCATCAAAAGAAACATCAGTGTGACAATCTCAAACACAGTTTCACCCATCATCCCAACAAGGGGTCAACAACAAAAACAAAAAAGAACCGACGATCTGAAACAATTTTTCTAAGCCTCACTTCAGCCTCACTCACACAACAAACACCTACGCCCTACAGTATTAAAACATTGAATTCACAACACAACCCCCATCAACCTCTCACAAACCTTCCCTTCCCTCCCCTCAAAAACCCGCATCTTCCCCTCCAACCACTCCAGCACTTTCGTATATCTAGCCTGTCGTTTCCTCAACACAGTAATAAAAGCTCTCATCGCAAGCCATTCCACCATCGTCTTCGAGACCCCACATTTATACCCTACATTCTTCTTATTCTTGCCTTTGCTCTTCATGAGGACAAATGCGAGGTCTGTTGTATCTGAGATTGTTTCTTTGTACATTAATTAGCATTGATCCAGAAGAAAGGTTGGGAGAGATTGAGGGGACTTACTGATTAGTAATTTCGTGCTTGGCTGTTTTCCGGTAGGGAGATGACGGGCGTATGTCCACATTTTGGTTGCGGTTTCGATGAATGCGAAGTGGATGTTTGAGATTACGGTGTGGAAAGAGTTAAATGCTGTGTCGAGGAACATGGCGTGGGCTTGGATTTTGAAGGAGTCTGGGTGGGTGGTTAGTTTTGGGGGTAAAAAGAAGAAGATGGGCTAAATGCAAAATAAAACCATGTGAAAATAAATGAAACGCAAAAAGAAGGCAAAAGGAGCGACTGTCTCTCGGAGGTCAATCCAGTATATTTTGCTTGGTGTTGATGACAGAAAAAATTGCAAAAAACATACAACAGT